CAATTATTCACAGCCTCTCGAATTACTTAGAGACCTAGTAGTAGCGACCATAAGGGCTCTGTGGGATGCGTACTTATATTGGCAATAGTTGAAAGTGGCCAATCAAGACTAGCTAGTTTTCACTTAGCTTCTCGGTCTACACGATTATTTGGATGTTTCAATGGCTCTTCTGATTTCAAAGTAGATCTACCTCTATCACATTTCTGTATCTTCCCGGTAAATTCTTCTGATTTGTCGGCGAAAATATTTAATGAGATATTACTGGTATATAGTAATTCTTTATAGTTGTGTAAGTAGCAAGCAATGTGGTGATATTCTGAAAATTTCTGATGACCAAATGAAGATGATAGAGGTTTTTGCATCCAAATTTCCATTCGACTAACTCCTTGCCTTTGCCAATTCAAGTTCACTTCTGACTTGTTGGAGCAACGCAAGATTTCACATCCCAAGTTTATGTTGTTGTGGGATTTTTGCATTGTTTATACGTATCAAATATGAGTACCGACAACCCATTTTATGTACACGATGAAGTGAGAAGTTATGCAACCAAACTTTATTCATATTTTACCAACTGAAGGTTCACTTAGTAAATGTCTGGTTTGAACGTTTAAGTGCTAAAGCTTAATGTTTTTTCGTCAATAATTTCCACTTCCACCACAAACTTTCGACTTTCATATTGAGGTGTTCTTTGACTTCTACATATGCATTCGTGCATTCGCTGCGCCTCTGGTAGCGTATACTTAGCATAAGTAGCCGTTATGTAGTTTCGATGATTCTGCGAATGGCATAGCAATTCCAGGACCTCACGCGTTCTCCTTTATCATTCTATTAGAGCCAGTTATTAAATGTAACTCAAAAATCTAGGAAATTCAAAGCTGAAGGCAACCACGTCTGTAACGACCCTTGTTTTTCTTACTCATTTACTAATCATATGCATTTTTCGAAGCACGTTGTTTCCTTCGCTTTCAGGACAACGTATGAACAAGCTATATACATAGATGAATAGAAGCCAGTAGTTGCCTAGGATGGGCGTACAATTATATCCTTACGCTCATTTCAGACGTAATTTTGCTATTAAATGTTGAAGTACTTTTTCACGCTTTTAGATCCAATTGCGCTGAGTGCGCAGACTTTGTGCTCGACAAAATTATTATTTTTGTGTGTAAATATTTCAAAAGCTTACGTATAACCCAACTGCTAGAAAAATGTGTTTGAGTCGCACAAGTGTGAATGAAGGTGTGTGAGAGCGTGGACAGTACGGAATATCCATTAATAAGTGGTCAAAGTTCTTAATTTCTCAAAAATCAAGTAAGTTCCTTGTGCAGGGCTACATTCGCTATCTCATCAATTCTGTTTCGTCTACTTATTATCATGTTTATTATATTTTCTATTACAATCACTTTCATCTCTGCTTACATTTCGTCTTCACTATATATCCAATCAGGGATGCAATTGTTGCACTAATTATAACCGTACATTTACTCATCTTCACTCATGACAGCTTGTCATTCGCTTTCAGACTGAGTGGTCAAAAAGAGGAGCGATTCTCTTAAATCCTCTTTTTTTAAGATCGAGCGCAGAAGAACAACGTAGTCACGATTTTAATATCGTGCTATGAATAATGGTTTTTCAATCTATTTATGCATTGAAGAAAGATTTCAAAGTGTCTAGTGCGGAATGATTCGTCATTGCTATGTCATCATAGATTCAGTGCAATTTGGAGATTTGTGTCGATAGGAGATAATAAGTGATGAAGGTGTTGTAATTCGTACTCAATTTCTCTTCCATTGCGTTTACCAAGAACAACTCGCTGCGATTTATTCTCCAACAATTGAGATCTCTTTTTTTATGGGTGAAATGTGTGAGCGTTGAGGTTCTGCACGTATTTTCCTCCATACAAAACTATGATGACCACTTGAAAAATAGTTTTATTTGTTAAACATCGACAACCGCAGCTTCGCACTTGAT